CAGCGCAATCAGTGGAATTGGCTCATCGATTACAATCCCAAGCTCCTTTCTCATAACACGGCGCCATCGAAAACCCATGCGGCGTCCTTTCTCTGCTGCTTATCGAGCCGTTACCTGAGATTTACTCGCTTTACGTATTCAAGGACACCGGCCGTTTATTAGAACTTGGACGACGTTCGAAATTTATCGCAGAATGAGCAGAAACTTTTGATTATTCTATTTTTAATAAGCCTGGGATTTTTTCCTCTTCCTATGCATGGAGGAAAGTTAGTCTCCATGGATTTTTCCTGTAAAATGCGCCCTGCAGCCAGGTCGTGTGGCAGTGATGGGGGGGCCCTCTATGTGGGAACCCACTTAGCCGGACATATTGTAAAATGTAAAGGTGAACACAGCCACTAGATGGACTTCCAGTCTTAGAGTTGACCAGTTGAGGTGGTCAGTCTGCCTAAAGTATGAGAAGGAATATTGTTTTATTTCTCCAGAATTAAATCCTCGTTTTTCAAAAAGGGGATGTGGTTGGTTTTTTGTCAGTTTGATAAGGTGGCAGCGGAAAATATGATTTACATTTTTTTTTCTGTTGAGACCAAGTGATGAGAGCAGGAACAAACTGCTTCTATTCTTATCAGGGTATGACAAAAATGAGGCCCTCAGGACGGGAATTATCAGGTAGTGGATCACGTGACTCAGAGCAGACCTGAGCAGAGGCTCGTTGGAGTGCATTCAATCCATCAAATTAAATCATTCTAATTAGGGCAGGGATTTATTATCAGCTGAGCCGCAGATACCGTGTTATCACAGCCCATGAGAGACAGGAAATCAAAGAAAAAATAGAAAGTGTGACAGCCGATGTGAAGAAAAACCCTCTGCTGTCAGCGATGAGGTTATGACTCCATATGACTGCCTGGTTTCCTCCCTCTGATCCACAGAGGCAAAGACTCCACTCCATGATATCCCGGACAGCAAAGGATGTTATGGATATTTTGTAGTGGGTTAAAAATGCCTGAGGAGGTGAAGTCCGCAGGTCCCAAAGTAGCCCAAAAACATATCTGGTGTCCTCCTCTCCTGAGCTCTCCTCTGATGGACAACATCATATGGTTAAGGAAAGGAATGTCCTTTTTTATTTATTTATTTTTAATATTATGAAGGTCCAGACATGTATTGGAGCCGTCCGTCCTGTCTTCTCATTTAATCACACAGCTGGTACAACTAGAGGAAAAATAACTGCACTAAGTTTGGTGGAGTTAAGGAGGTCCTGTGTATTTTAGAGGAGAAGTGAAAGGAAATGTTCGAATAATAAAGAAAAAAAAGATTTCACATTTATTTGTATTATATATGATCATTTAATGGCCTTTTAAGCCTTTTTCTCATGTGACTGTCCTCTGCCGTGGGCATGTCAGACTGTGTTTTCCTGCTTAATTAGCCCCATGTATATCCTGTAATGTAGCAGTAGCCTAAAAATCGAGAAACATTGAGCTGTTAGAGATGAAATAGTTGTTTCACAGTCCTGAGAGCCCTTTTCTTGTCGATGGGATGATGAATGGCAGGTTGTTGTTTTGCATCAAAAGTATGGAGGACTGGTCCTGTGGTAATAATGGGAGGACTGACATCTCTATGAAATGTCACTGCGATCCATCAAGTTGAAGTGGAGACATTTCACTCAGTGAAAATTCCCAAACTGAGGACATCAACAGTATCTGAGCCTTTTCTGTTGAAGCGTATTTTTCCAATCCCCATCCTCGTCCAGGCTGAAATGATACTGTAAGGGCTTAAGTTTGGCCAGAGACACACACTGCGAGGCGGGGGGGGGGGAATGAATAAGTGCCAGGAATAATAAATGAACTCCATAAAGGTGCTCTGATAGCAGTGAAACACGAGCAGCCGTGACTGTTTTCACTCACCACTTTTACACTCACATCCTGGCCAGGACGTTCCTTTGAGATCATTAGATTTCATTCTTCTCGTGGCGGCGCGGGCCTGTAATACTGAGAAAAACCTCCGCTTCCCATTTTCTTTCCTTTCCCCGTTTTAATTTAGCCGAGATATGGAGACGAGAAGACGAGATGACGTGTAACAAAGGTTATTGAACAACCCTCAAATCCGAGTTGTTGCGGGAACAAAGCCGGATCCCCCTGAAAAATTCATTTACATTCAGCCTTTATTTCATCAGACTGCAGCAAAAAGATATGAAAGATATAAAGAGAAGATGAAGAAGACTTAATTTCCCCCCTGGCTGATATAATATCACTATCATTTATACTGAGCCGAGTCTTAGACTGTCAGACCAAAGAGGAACTCTAAAAGAGCAATTTGTTTGCTTTTCAGAAACGTCATTTTCCAGAGAATCAATATCTGCAACCTTGAATTAGGAATAAACAGCAGATTGAGAAGCCTGTCAATGGTAGCTGTAGTTTTGCTTCCCTCCTTAATGAGGAATAAAGCGAACCTCACAGCCAAAACAAAAACACAGCGGCCGTCCTCACTGGTGCAGCGAAGCCCTCCGTTATCATAGCGAGCTGATTAACGCCTTTAATCAAACTCGGCTTTATCCTCCAAAAGCTGTCGGTTTTAATTCCGCTCAAACACGCAGCACGCGCAGCCAGCACCTCCAAAAAGTCCCGACCCTCGGCAGGTGGGAAGAGGTGGACGATCCTTTCCACAGAGCTCCTGACAGCAGGGATCTCCTCCCCAGCCCTTTTCCTTTTTCCCACCTCGGTGCCTCTGACATGTTTACCCCTGCCGGTGATGGCTTCTCCATCCGTGGTCGTTGTTTTGACAGGCAGCAGCGGAAGTGTAGGAGTTCCAGATTTTGCCCAATTTTTAGATTTAGAGTTTGGATTCTGGTCCATTTATCAGCCAGAGCTGCCGGGTAAAACCCTTGTTGGTGCCAAAATCCCGCGGCAGCGTTCGGATGTCCAAGATTCTAATCTAATTGTCTTTTTTTGTTTTTTTTCTCAGTTTTTTTCCTTTCTTTTGTTGTTGTTCTTGTTGTTTCACATTTCCCGCTCTCCTCAGTCTCCATTGCTGGTAATTTAAGTACCGGCTTGTCGGCGCTTTATTTGCCAGTCGTGTTTTAACAAAGCGCTTTTTGCTCCGCACGCCTCAAATAAATTGCTCTCTCTGTGTACTCCTTGTTAGCGATAATGCCGCTGCCAGTGAAGGCCTAAAGAGCAGCCCGAAATTTGTCAGGCCCTTTTCAAACGAGATCAGCTTCCGTTTGATTATTCACAGCAACATTAAGCCAGCTCTAACTGGGGCTTATTGTGCGGCCACGGACTGTGTTTCCCGCTACAATTGCCTTATTCTTTGAATCAAATGTAAATCCGGCAGTGGGAAACACACAGTCGGCGCCACTGTGGTGCCTTATGTAGGTCAATTCCTCTTCAGTGCTCGCTTCTTGGCCTTATGATGAGAGATTTCATTTTGCGAGCAAACTGCGCTTTTATTATTCATACTCCGGCAGAGATTGGAGTTGCGGAGCATTAAAGCATGAAGTTGTCATTTCCCTACATGCGGACCGTTATTCCCTTTGCCCCAAATTGGAATTAAACTGAACATTTGATGTGGGTCGGAGCAGTTTTGGTGGCGCAGCCTCCAAATTGGAGCCGAGCGCCGGCGCTGGTTGGACGCTGAGCGCCGGCTGCTCGCTCGGTGGCCCTTTTTTCATGCATTTCTAACGGCTTGTTTAGTCCTGCTGGACCGTTATGGATTCCTGAGATCTGTTTGAGAGCTGGGTTGAGGTTTTTCTAACTTCAGATCGAATGCATATTGTTCTCCACGTGTCTAACTGCCTCAAAAATTGAGCTAACTGCAACATAATTTCTCTTCAATGAAGCAGCCGAACACATTAGGTGAGTAGCGTGAAATTGACCTCAGAAAAGGCGCTCTGTGTGTTTGTGTGCGTGTGTGTGCGTGTGTGAGTTTCAAATAAAAGATTGCTATTGAGGGAATCCAGGCTAAATGGAATCCATTTGGGGCTCTCTGCAGTATGTGTATCACCTTAATGCCCTTACAAATATTACCTCATGGTGGTTGCACTTTAATGGCTGCTGGATAATCATCAGTTGAGATAGAATCACAACTTTTCCTGGGAGTAGCTTATCCTTTTTTCTTCTTCTCTTCTTTTTTTTTTCAAAAGCAGCGTGAGGTCCCATATATCTCTCGGCTACTGTCTCCTGTGTTGATCTAATTGGATACCCTCTGTTGCCTACAATGAATCATTGCTGGACCTCCTCTCTCCCTTCAACTACTTATTTTTTACTGAATGCAGGGTTCCCCCTGAATCTCAAGGCTCGGCCTTAAAACTCGTGTTTGTCCCCCGGCTCCAGCCATTGATCTTTTTCATCTCCCCTTTTCTTTTCGCCTTCCCGCCGTGTCAGTATTACTTCTATCCCAGCGGCCGACTGTGGGTCTGCTTTTAAATCCTCTGCCTCCCCAGATGAAGGCTACGGGTTCACCACATCCTCCCCACTCCTCTAATCGACCCCTAATTTGGCAGATGGACTTTGAGGTGGAATGAAAACTGACCCTCTTTACGCTCGCATGCGAGGACGCCGCTTCCACCGCGCCTCCGTCGGTCCTTCCTGGACTCCTGAGCCCCGAGCTCTGCTGCACACTGGCAGTGTGACCCATCTGAGAGCAGAGGTGGAGCAGTGGAGATACTGTGAGCTTTAAGTGGGGCTCCTTCCCCCCCGCATCTGGCTTTGTGGCTGATCCGCTCGGCAAACAGCTCCAGGAAAGTGGCTCTCGCTGAGACAGATCGAAGGCAAAGATTTTTTTAATTACTCAGCCACAGCCGAGCGGAAAGGCCCAGGTTTTGCCTGTGGGGTATTCATATCGACTCCGGTGTATGATGTTTTAATGATCCCCTGCGTGTGAAGGATTCGTTGCCGTCGCGTGTGTGCTCGGAAGCCTGACTTGTTTGTTTTCTCCCCTCTGTGCCTCCAGTTGATGGATTCTCGGCTGACTCGGAGGCAGATTTAAAGCTTTCCAGACAGACCAGGATGTCGAAGATCACCAAGGCAGCGAAGGCCGTGAAGAAAGTGGACACAGGCAATATAATCCGGGCCATAGTGAGGTCAGGACAGGCGGCGCCGGGACCCCCGCTCGGCCCCATCCTGGGACAGGTAAATTACCTGCACAGTTACTTCCTGCTGCGCGTGTTTGCTCTGAGCAATCAGGGGATGTTGACTCAAATCTCGGAAGCAGTGCTTCATTCTGTCAACTGACCTTTCCCTCACACCTCTCAGTAGCCTCGAGACAGCCCAACCCTGCCCTGACTTTTGCCTTTCCCCTCAGTCCCGTCACGGTCCCCCTCCCACAGCCCTCTTCATTCTCATATTCTTATTCTAGAGGCGCAGCTCCACGTTGTGGGTGTGTGGCACACACTATTCCACCTGCCGCCGGTTTTCCTCCGTTTCCTAACGGACACTGACACCTCCGTCAATGGCAGCTGCCTCTATACATTAGCCTCTTTACAATCCAGTGGAAGAAATAAGGCTGGACATGTGAAGTTTGTTTTCTCCCTTTTTTTTTGTCTGAAATGCATTCCTCCCTGAGTTGTCTCAGAAAGAGAAGAGAGGGAGCAGAGGTCGGTTGTTTATTTTATCACTGCTCGGGGATATGCAGCCCGCGACATTCTGACCACCAACTCCAACCAAACAAATCTGCTGCATGGCTAGCATGATGTTCAGAAGGGTCGGCCGTCCGGAAAAACAAAGAGAAATGAAGAAAGCGGACAGGGAGCTAAATTATTATGTTATAAATGAGATAATGTCTTAGTAACGTATGTACTGGTGTTTGTTCGTTAACCTTGTCTTTATTTGTGATCTCAAATGATCACATTTTTCCAGTGAAAAATGTTTTCGTCCATAAAGGAGCAATCTGTTCCTGATTTAATTGCTATTACGACGTTAAAGCTTGATCGTCCTTCTCCAGATGGAAATGAGAGCGGCCACATGGCTGCTTCTGTCCATACAAACGATCCCCTTAGCCTCTTTAATGGACGGCACTCATCGGCCTCATATGCTTTTGCACACTTGGAAAGCAGATCGATTGTCACGGTTAATCAATCTCTGTGACTTAATGACGCCACTCAGACAGGAGGATGGAGGAGTGGGCAAAGCTGGCAGATGAGAGGGCCACATGTAAAGAGTGCACGCGTGAGATGTGAGAAATGCACATCTAAATCTGCACCATTACTTTAGACTTCTTTTCAAATGCATCTCAATTCAATATCACTTTATTAATCCTTAAAGAGAAATTGTTCTGCTGCAGAATGACTTATTTACTTTACAACCGCATCATTATTATTAAAGGTAGGTAACAGCTGCTGAATAACAAAAAGAAATGCAATCAAAACATAATTTGAAGCTTTGAGAGAGAATCATTTTTAAAAAATCAACCCACAACTCCTGGAAAAAGGTATTGACTGATTTATTCAGTGACTCTGTCAGAGATTAGGAATTTTGCTTGTGATTTGATTTAGCTTGTTTATGTTGGGGGAGGGGGGTGGGGATTCATTTTGTTGCAAACTTCAAATGAGTTTTTTGTAAGCGGGATTACCGATGCCTCATTGAAGCTTTGCATCAACAGCTCTCCTCAGAGCATCTCAGCCCTTCTCTTCTCTCAGCTCATTTCTGAACCTGCTCCCTCTCTCCCTCTATATTCTGCATCATTTATAAAGGCAGCCTCCGTGCAGTGGCTTTGCAGATGACACTTAGTCTTTCCTTTGTGTGGGAGTTCTCACTAAGTTATTCAGTGTTGGAAATCAGAGGGTTTCACATCATACGACTAAAGAGGTTATACATATGCAGGTTTGCCTTAAAGCGGCGAGAACTCATTTTGAAAATGAATCACATGACCGCGTGGAATAAAAATAACTTGCTTTCTTCTGTGCAGCTCTCCTGAGCACACCAGCCTCCTTACATTCATTATTTTGGTTTTTTGACCTGCGTCTTTGTTGTGTGGTTCAGTTGTAATCTTCTTTTGAGCTTTTAGAGCCCAGTGAAGCTTTGAGCTGCTAAATTTCTAAATGAAAAATGAACTCTTCAGAGCCAGAGATAAAGCGCTCCATAGTGATATCCGCTGAACGGAGTGGGGTTGTACGATCCTGTGACACATAAGAGTTATTTGATTGTCATTTCCCACAATAAAAATCTCTTTTTTATCTTCTTTTACTTGATGTGAGATCGAATTACAATTTTACCAGATTAGATCTTGCTCCCATTTCCAGATTCAGTCTGACCTTCACTCTGATAGATTTCTGAGAGGGGAAATGTTCGGATGTCTAAACCAATAACTCGAACCTGTAAGTGCAGAGCAGCACATCCGCCGATGCTTATATCATTTTAAGCTGACAAACGTTCAGCACTGCCAACAGGGAGTTTTTTGCGCTGCTACTTTGAGAAGTTTGTCCAACCATGGCCATGATCGGCTAATTGTTAGCTCAGAGGCAGCCCTAATCAGAGCGGGGATTTCTCAGGCCAAGACACTGCGGCGTCACATCCCAGTGCCAGAATATGTCCTCAGTCGGTTAAAATCAAGTGATCGAGCCAAGTCCAAGTTCATTCAGAATTAAAAAGGTTTGCTCAGCGTTCAGCAAATGTATGCTATAAGGGCTCTCGCTTTCAAGTGTCCGTAAAACCCAGATTTTATCTCCCACCTCTTGTTTTTCACAAATGTACTTATTGATTTTTAAACCTTTTTTAAAGATCACATTTAGGGCAGGGTTTCTTCTGCTTCAGACACTCAGAAAAGCTTTTAATTTAATCTGAGCCAGAGATAAGAATGAAATAAGGCACTTGACTCCTTATGCTAATGGTGTTTGACCCCTCCCGGCCCCCACCCATCCACATTTTAAGCAAAAAAGGAACATTAATGTAAGGTTGAGGATGAACTTTCACAGATTATTGCCTCATTTTGGATAGAATGAGGCATTGGCCACATTGTCCATTAGATGGTGCTTTATTTTAAAGCTCTTTAAAGATGAAGCCTGTTCTTGGCTGACGGCCTGTAAATTGTTGTTGGCGGCTTACCAGTACCAAGCATACAGGAGCATTCAGACAATGTCAGTCGTATATTTTTGTCTAATCCCCCCCCCCATCGCATCAAATAAAACCTGAGTGGTGATGTTTCAGCGTCAGTGGGAGAGTGTGTGGTATTTTTGGATCCCGCTCCTTTCCAAACACGCCACAGTAGGGATTTGATCATTTTCAGGAATCTGTTATTTGTGACATGTGTCACACAGGTCTGAGAGCAGAGCTTTCTCTCCCAGCTTCCGCATATGTTCAGTTTGTCTCTGATTGTTTCTCCACACTGTCGTTCCACAGATATTCGGTTTGAGTAAAGAGGCTTCTTAAATAATGCAAAGAAGACTGCACTGAAAGGATTTGATGTGTGATTAGTTTCCTTTTCCCTGAGTCTTGCGCTCTTCTTAGAGGTCATACTTGGTCCTGAGTTAACTGATGTATGAAATTCATTTTGATGTTAGCGTTTTCATCTTTTCATTTCAAAGCCGGGTGGTGATGGGGTTCTCTATTGGTCTGCAGATAGAGTAACATTTACATAGAGTGTAGATAAAGAAATAACTATTTTGTTTCCCAGAAGTCGAGGCTATGTTGTTAAGCTGTCATATCACCCGTCAAAAAACATTTGACTCAGGTGAAAAGTAGATTTCTTACATCCTTATTGTTTCATTGATGGGCAATCATTCCTCCGTCTTGTATTTTAGAAGTGGATACAGTTCATTTGCATAACTGTGACTCCATTTCCATCATTCAGTTTTCTCGTCTGTTGTTATTTTGGCTGTTTCTGGGTCTGGCTGCTTTTAGTTTTGTCAACAGCAATGGAAAAATATGTGAATTATATTCCAGTCGGACAACTTACTCATCCATTGCAGAAGAAAAGAAAGAAAAGAAGCAGCAAAACGAGACAAATAAACCCACGCCTGGTTGCTCAGTGTTCTCTGGATCAGCGTCCATCTGAACCACAAATTGTCATCCGGTCAGCTTCTCCTGCTGAAAGTGAGCACGCAGCACCCCCTCTGAGCACTTCACAACCCCCCAGCTGCTTCTGTTCTCTCACGTCATTAGCAAACGGCAGTTTTCAGAGTTACCGGAAGCCAAGCGTGTCCACGCCGTCGCTCTGCTTCCGTTTGACCGGTGATGCCCGCTTCAGATCTCGAGCCCCTCAAAGTCGTCTCAGAACTTTTCTGCTGGTCATTCTGGTGCAGGTTTGTCTTTGATTCATCTGTCTAAAGGGTGCTGTCCCAGAGCTGCCCCTTTTTTTTTTGACCATGTCTAATCTGGTCTTTCAATTCTTGAGGCGTGTAAGTGGTTTGCACATTGTGATGAAGCCTCTGCATATGCTCTTTGAAGTCCCCTTTTTTTGTAGATATGGCTGCATCCTGCAGGGAGTTCCTCATGTGGCTGGAGCTTGTGAAGATTTCCGTGTTTTTGGCATGGAAAGGCTTTGCCGATTTATATGCTCCTGCTATCTTCTGTGGACATCAAGACCTCTTTTTGTTACCCAGCACATCGATGTGTTTTTAGTCTTTTTTTCCTTTCTTTTTTCTCTACTCCAAATGTGTCAGGCAATTGGATTTGGGCCGGTCCTAATGTTCCTGCTGTCTGTGATGGAGCAGCCTGGCCTCTTTCACGTGCACTGAGAGATCCTCACGCTGCACGTCACCTTCCAGATGCTATATCCGCGGCCTTTTAGTACTTAATTGATTTCGAAAACATAATGAAGAAATTATTCACACTTGTCCTTGAAACAGCCTTTGATCCGCAGCAAAGAAGGTTGTACTTAAACCCACCTCATATCTGAGTCATTTTCCTCTCTGAAAATATGCGCTGTAATCCTGCGTTCATTATAACCATATCCCGAATTCCCAGGAAGAAACTGCTTTGTATGGTACAGAGCATTACTAAAGGCTTTTAGTTTCCTCACAAGTTCGACAAATCAGCTCGACACCTTGTCAAGAATGATGATGATTCATTATTGTTACGTCTAATCTTCAGAATATAAAGTGGTGAAAACGAGTCAGAATTAACAGCTGTAAGCTTCAAGATGTTTACTCGCTGATGCCTCACTGAGCAGAATTCAGTAACACATTTATCTAAATGTACCATTCTGCATTAATCCCTCTCAGTCTATTTTGATGCTAATTCTTGCTGGAATGTGTGACTTCTAACAGTTTCCACGTTTTGCTGTTGATTCTTTTACTAAATTAGGATCTTCTTCCATTGCTGTTTATGCTAATTAAAAAAAAAAAATCCTAGAAATCAGTTTAGTTGACAACACCAAAATGAATTCTAATTTTGTTGAGTGATTGGGCAGTCATCCGTCACTTTCTTCAGATAGACTGATGGAATTAGCCTGCCTGGCTTCCTTTAACAATTGGATCTCGATTTCTGCAGCAGGTAAGCGTCATCCGAGACCTGTGTTGGCGTGCGTTTGTCTCCGCTCTTCTTAAAATTCTGTTACACCATCTCTTTCTTTAGATTTCTCTTTGAAGTTGGCTCCCAAAGCAGGGGCGATGAATGATTTAGACATCTGTCCGTTAAGCGTGGATAGGTGGGCGCGTGGGCCTGCGTGTGCGTGCCGTGGCTTTCGCAGCGTAAAGGGTAATGAGCTGAGAGGTGCTTCGAGCCACCGCTCGCTCAAGCAAAAGCAAAGCCATATGTTTGTGTAAACTTTCTTCTTCCCAGACGGTTCGGAGCGCCGTGGCCAGGACGCCGCGCCGTGCGCTTGTGTCTGTTGGCTCTGGAGCCGGCGGTGTGTGGAGCAAACTGTAAATAAATGACGGTCGGCAGCCCTCCTCTTCAGGGAACAGCCCAGATCCTTTAATCTTAGCCATCCCCTGCTCCTTAGTTTTTTCTTTTTTCTCTTTTTTATTCCCCCGCCTCTGACTAACCACCCTTGACGGGAAGGTGCAGAGAGGTATTCTGCCTGTCTGCTGTGGGGCAAATTTAAACAAACGAGAGAAATAAAAGAAGGAACGGGAGAGCAAAACGAGAAACTGACAGCGTTGGTATACGAGAATAATTACAAAGGGGATTGAAATTAGCCCAGGTGAATGGAGGGGATGAATAGAGGGCACCGGAGGAGGAAAGAAAACAGCAGCACAGCTCATGCGGCTTTTCTCGAGGAGCAGGTGGCGAGAGTCGATGGGAGCTGCGGAAAAATGCTGAGCATTGTATCTGGAGCCTAACAGGTGTAACACATTCTAGTCGTTTGCAGCGGCTGCTGCATTTGCAGTCGCAGCTTTTAGTATAATAGAGGTATGAGAAGTTGCCCCACAGAGACCGCATCCAGAATGCATGTTTGAAACGTCGAGTGAACAAAGGGGAGAGACGGATAAAAGAAAGGGGGTCAGAGAGAGTTGGATGCTGTCTTCTGAACTGCCTTTCCCTCTGTGGCGTCTCCTTAAAAGTCTGTCTACACCGAGGAGAGATTCCCTACAGAGAATTTAAATGGATATCTTTTTTTTTTTTTTGGTGGGGGAGAGTGTACATTAGTCTTCCTGCAGCCTTTAAATCGAGCATAAATCAGTGAGAATAAGCGCTGCCGTTCTGACAAAAGGCCTCAATCTCAATTAATGGGGCCATTAAAGCTCAGAGGAGTGGAGGGCAGGTGCATTTGTAGCAGCTGAGAGCAACGAGCTGGTTCTCTCTGAACAAGATAACAGGCTTTCACTGGAACCCTCGACATGCACGCCCATCGCGCCCGGCACCTCTCTTCCAGGATTAAAGGTAGAAAACATGCCTCAACGCTCAAGAGTTACAGCGAGAGAGGCCCGCAGGCATAATTGTGATAAACGACGTCCTCTCCTCCGCGGGCCGCTCCTCGATGCAGAGGAGCGCATCACCTTTTGTCAGAGCCGAGGCTTCCATTGGTTTCCATTCAGCACGAGAGAAGGGGAAAACATTTCCTGGAACTTCAGGATGACAGCGGATTGACTTGACTTGAGCGTTATTTGTCCTAAGGGGCCCCGGGGCTTTGAAAAGTTTTGACTGAATCCTCCAGCTTTTCCCCCTCGTTTGTGTGCCAGTAACACTCCTGCATAACAGCCAATGAACTGTCAACACCAGGAGGGTATGAGACACTTTATTAGTTTGCACTCTGTCCTGGAGGTGTAGCTGACAACAGCTTTGGAGCAACTTCACAGTAGAACACATGGCATACGTCCAAGTTCCACATCCTACACGTAAGGCGCACGCCTCCAAAGCCTCACGAGGAAACAAGGCACTTGACTGCACTGTACGTCCGCCCCACCTGCTGCTCTGGCCATTACCGACATGCCACGCGTCCGGGTAAATGTGCAAACTAATGGGTGCATCTGGAATTACGGAGGAATAAAAAGTAAACCTTCAAATTTAATTTAAAAAAAAAGGGTGGACAAACAGTTTGACAAGTTTTCTTTCTTCCTTTTTTTGAAAATGACAGATTCTGAGACGAGCACAGATCACAACGCACATACATTTTGAATAAAACTGTAAAGGGATTACTTACATTGTAGTTAAGTCTTTGTAAACGGCGTATAAAACAGACCTGGGATGGTCCCAATCGTAGAGAGACACTCCTGGACACTCTGCAGCTGACATCATGACAGATGTGGAATATGTTCATTAAAGATGCTGCTGGAGGCTTTTGACTCAACACCAGTTTAAATGTATAGAGAGGTTAATTGGAGATTTCACAGTTACTGAATTAAACAGACTTCCAAGTCACTGAAATCAAAATATGAGTACAGCCGTTTGGCAGAGGTGGTCAGCTGTGAGGTCCAGGAATGTGCAGGTTAACTCCACCCAAACGAAACGGTGACAGAAAAAGCAGTCCTCACTAAAACCCACTGAAGAAGTCACCAGCCCATTCGCTGGTCATAGCTTCCCGTGACAGCTTTCATAGATATGGGTGTACACACAGAAACTGGCAGGTGGCTGGCTTCAAGAAATGACACCAGAAGTATTAAAATGCTTTTAGAGAACGATAAGCCAAACATGGCTGCTCGTGGACTGGATCCTCTACGTCCTCCAGTCCGAGGGGGCAATCTGCCAAAATATTCATCTCAAAGAGAAATTTACTGGGCCTCAACATGGGGACTGATGTTAGACTGAATAATAAATGTTTTTTTTTAAATGTATAATTTGTTTAAAAAAACAGAGAAATAGTGGACACCATGAAAACTGTACAGTGTGGCTGATCCAATATGTGTCTCTTTTAGGCCGGATCTGTCTTTATATGACGAGACCTCGGTGATCTTTTGTTCTTTCATGGCATGCTTGTAGGTTTTTCTGTATTTATAGTCGGACGATCAGTTCCTCTCTGCAACTGAGAAGTTGTGAACCTAAGTCGTGTCCACATTGTGAGCTAATGGGATTCTGCTCTGACCCTTGCGGGCATCACGTGGTGCACGTGGGAGGTGACTGAATTTGTAAAAAAAAAAAAAAAAAAAAAGAAGTAGGATAAGTGTGAGTAAAACTTTCTGCAGCACTTTTCAAAATTCGTTCTAACCTCTATTGTTTTTCTTTATACAGAAAGACTGTAAAATTCAGCTTCGCTGACATGTAAAGATAATCTAAGAGGGGAACATCACTTGAGGTTGTGAGAAGACTTAGATTTAAAGGATCACTGGGTGAGACTCCATGTTTAAAAAAACATCGAAGCACCGTGTTCAGTGAGTTTTACTGGTAGATAGCTGCTGAGTCTTGGCTCAGATGTATCGCTGGATAAAAAATTAAACGCCTCTCCTCTGAATTATGCTTTTTCAGAGAAAAGCTCCCCTGTGAAATAACAGAACCTGCACACCAAAAGGTCAGCCGGTGGTTTGCCGTCTGCTTTGATACCGCTAACTCGATGCGACGTGAGGTTTGTATTGTTGTGCCGGTAGTTTGTGTTGCTCTGCTGTTTTGTGCGAATTAATTGCCGTCCTGCCCTCGTTTCTAAGCCGTCTGAATCCGAAGCCGGGGACTCACTGGAAGGTGAAAGTCGACACAGTGTTCCCACAGAGATACGCAAATTGAACTTGAATATTAATAGACGTTTAGCAAGTAACGGAAAGAAACTTTAGCTGTTGATGTCGGGGAGGGGGGGAACAAAACGTCTCAAACCACAAAAGCAGCGTTCAGCCCGTTTAAGAAGGTACGCTTGGCCTTCATCATACAACAGCAGACACGACTGTGTTTGAACATTTCGGGGATACCCTTTGAGCAGCTGTGTTCACAGCGTCGACTGTTAATACAGCTGAGAACTCCCATGAATCCCAACAATGCATTTTGTGTTATCCTTGGCACAACAAAATGCCCAGCAGAGCTTGTTAAATGCATTTCCACAGCCCTGCGTCAAAGCCATCACTGTTGTCCTCAGATTACTTAAAAAGTTATCTTCTTGGATGCAAGACTGGCTTTGCTGGTCGGAGTTTGAAGTCTGGGCGTGCGCGCGTCGGTTTCTGCATGCACGCGTGCTCCCAGTGATCGCTCTACAGTTCGTGGGAGATGAAAGAGGGTCCCAGAGGCGTCGCCATCGGCTCCAGGCTGACGTGGGAGAGACTGTGGCTTTGGGAGCGAGTCAGTGTGTGATAATGAGCGGCGGGAGCTTTCCCCTGGGCCTGGCCCTCTTCCTGCTCGGAATTCTGACCGGGCGCGGCGGCGGAGCCCCCGGGCTCGGCTCCGGCCGCGGCCCCGGCTCCGGACGCGCCGCGCTCCAGCTTGTGGCGCTCCCAAGCCGAGCTCAGCTTGACGGCCAGAGCCAGCAGGTTTTTCCCCAGGAACACGGTGGACACCCGGGGGTCCCTGTACCACAGCATGCCCGTGGCCCTCAGGGCCAGGGTCAAGATGTTGATGGTGACCAAGCTAAGCCAAGGGTACAGCGCCTCCTTACGGGGTCCCCTCTGCCCCGGGAGGCCGGTGGCCCCCAGCTCTGTGAGGGCCACGCAGGGCAGCAGCAGCAGGAGGGCGTAGCAGTAAAAGAAGACCAGACCCTCGGCCCAGATGGGCAGCTTCTGCTCCACGGCGGCCCCCCCGGCTCCACCCTGAGCCTCCCAGAGCCCCGCCTGCAGGTCCAGCACGTCCAGCAGGTCCACCACCACCCACAGCAGCCGGCCCCGCACCTCCTGCTTCCTGCGCTGCGGGGTCATGTGGTCGGCCCCCGTCAGGATGAGGAAGAGGGAGGGCAGGCAGACGGACAGCAGCAGGGTCAGCGTCTTCCGGGCCAGCGGGTCGGGCGGCCGGCGCTCCTGCCTGTAGTTGTGGCAGACGAAGAACAGCTTGAGCTGGAGGAGGGACAGGAACAGGAACCAGAGGGCGTTGGCGAAGCCGCGCCGCGGCGAGCGCGCCTCGGACTCCACGCCGGCCGACACGAAGCGCAGCGCCAGCAGGAAGCCGGCGTCGCCCAGCAGCACGGCGGCGTACTGCCAGGCGCTGGGCCCCGCCAGGCCCCGGGCCCCCAGCATGCTCTGCTCCAGCAGGTAGAGGTCCACCACCGCCATCGTGCTCACCGTGACCAGGGTTGATACGCACACCTGGGGCGTGGGCACCATGCCTGCAAGAGACACAGAGACGGTTGCGGGGAGATGTTTCACGTCTATGCAATTAGCGGAGGCTTTTATCCAAAGCGATTTACAAAGTAGACACAATGTTACAGTTATCATAAGATCTCTAGAGGAAACTCCCTAGTCAGAACCAGTTGGGACAGCAAAGAGAGAGAGGGAAGTGCAGAAAGAGTAGCAGAGGGGGGTATAGAGGTATGGGGAAGAGTTAAGATAGGAGATGTTCTTTAAAGAGGTGGGTCTTTAAGAGTTTCCTGCTGTTCTTGTAGTGCTTGGTAGGTCGTTCCACCATCTTGGTCTGGATTGTCTAAAGCGTGGTGCAGCACGGCTAGACCATAATCCATTGATGTGACCGAGTTGTGACATAAGCCTTTGCAAGAGGGTTCAAGTAGACGGGAGTTGTACCCTTAGGCCAGCATCAGGGACCTGAAATTGACCAGCTAAGCTCAATGAGCAGAGGTGTGACGTGAGACTTTTTTGGGCTGATTGACGACCAGACGAGATCACTCACATGGCCACACCTGGACTTCCTCACATAATCTGCACGCTCCTTCTGCACTCCGTATATTTATAAGACTTTTTCCGACCTAGCGGCGGAGTGGTCTGACGCTTGTTGCCATGGTTGAAGTCTTCAGCTGCTAAGTAAGCAGCGAGCGTCCTTTATCTTTGGCCTGAGCCTCATACTGTGACTTTTCAAGCCGAGAAGGTTATTAAATTGTTTTTTTTTCTTTTCACTGCGGCTGTATATTATATAGTATTCATTTTCCAAAAGGGCCCTAACACTCCTTCCTTTTGATTCTCAGATTTCCCCCAAGTTCTCTGTTGCTACTTTTTCCATTCATTATTAATTAATTGCATTCAGGCACAGCTAGGTGCCCTGTCAAAGCCTTTTCTTTGCCTCTATAGTCTGCCGTGTTTACCCTCATACTGCGCCGCAGCCTTTAATCATCTCAAATCCCCATTTCGTTTCAGATGAATATTGATAACTTGCTATTTGTTGGTTTTTATGCGATGCACTTCCTGTCTCTGTGTACACAATGTGTGCGCGTGTGTCTGGGTGACTGTAAGAAGATGACGCTAATGTGACTGAATACGAGGGTCCACAATATGTTGTTCCAGCTCGTACTCCTATATCAGCCGCAGACGGCATGAAAAACACTATTGATCTCGGTTTGAGAAATGGCCATTGACTTTACAGTGTAATCAAACCAATGTTTCTTTATCATGTTTAGCTGAGCAGCACAACACGAGCCACTGGACCTGTCCGTTATCCGCTCAGCACCACTCTGGGGGTGTCAGCCCATCGGCTGGATCGATGGCATTGTAATATAAAATCATTACCAGCTCAGACCTGGCCGAGCAGCAACAGTTGAGTGGGATCAAGTGAGAGATTGTAGGCATGATTGCGGCCCCTGAAAAAAAAAAAGTCTGCCGGTGAGAAATGGTTATTGATATCTTGCTGATGGAAGACGAGTCTCCTCCGTGTCTGGAAGATCTGCCACCTCCTCTGTGTTGTTTGATTCATTAAAAAGGACAGGGGAGCTCAACTGGGTAAAATAAGATTTGATGGTGTGCATGTTTGAAGGAAGAGAAGAAGAACTGAAAGTGAAAGATTAATAGGCCTTTTGGGCTGTCTACATGGCTAATAAACTGTTACTGCATGACGGTAATAGTTCATAAATAAGCCTGGGGGGTGGGGGGTGGATGAGAGTGATGAAGAAGCTAAAGAGACTTAAATGCAGATAGAAAGTGGCTTCCATCCACTTATATGGAGACGCCGTTTCATGAGGCATATGGAGTCCTAATTCATCTTTGGCAGTATTAAAAAAAATCACAGGCATTAAAAGCTTATTCTGAGACAGATGAATCAAACGGATGAGGGAAAATCTCCTCTGATTAATCCTGCTCGCGGGCATTGTGGGCGGACAGCCGTGAATCCCGCCAACATTGGAAATATCTCATTGTCTATGAATCCTTTTGTCTCCCCGCACACAGCAACTTGATTATCATCCCCTCCAACCTGAATGAATTTCAGCCGGCCGCAGATTGAGAGGATATTGGAATTTAAATTTGTCCTGTGTTTCTCGGGGAGCCGCCCTCTCAGCCCGCAGGGGGGGGGGGGGGGGGGGGGGGGGGGGGGGGGGGTGTAGAAGTTCATGGCCGGTTCTCCGGCAGTCGTGCCTCCTGAATGATTCCAGCTGGTGCCCCTGTAATCTGGGCCTGGAATCCTCCCCGTCAGCCCCGTGTTTGTGTTGTGACTCCCTGTCAGCACGGTGTAATTTATTCTTTTCTGAGTGAGCAACAGGGATGACAGCCCCCTTGTCCTCTCAGCTCATCAATAATGACCAAATTCATCATTCCGGGGTCTGGGAAGTGACATGGATGTTGACAAGGCGAGGCAACCTATTTCACCCTAAGCATGAGTAATGGCACATAATAGTGCTTAGGTGAAGGATTTGTGCAAATTCTATTCTGCACTGGAAATCACCCCCCCACCTCACCCCCTTCTCAGTTTCATTCACTTCATGTATTTCTCAGTGTTGCGTGAATGCACAAAGGGTGCACTTTGTCTAAGTAATCATCCAAAAAGCACTTAAATTCTGCCCAATGCACACTGACAGAGATTAAGGAGGCTCGGGGCTTGCCTCTTTGCGTTTGTTTTCTATAAATATCGGGTGATTCCGGGGTGGACAGAGAGCCTTGTAGAGCCTAGATTAATTTGTCTGCACCTGCAGTTTATCTCCATCAACGGTCGTTATGGAGCCCCAAATTGCATCAGAGACCGAATCCTTCACAACCACAGGTGGCACGGGGAGCACCTAGGGCGTCCGGACGACACCTGAGCCATTACGAGCCAATTATTAATTTAATAGAGTCGGGGATGTGCAGCTCCTGATATAACGCAGATTAAATCCTCCCGCACGTCCCATTATCCACAAGAAGATCTGTTGATTTATCAGGGGGGGGACGGCTCAAGAGTTCCCCCGAATGGCTTGCATTTGCCATCCTTCTCTGCACAGTTCTCCTCTCTGTTCCAGCTCCTCTCATCACCTGCCCAGCGTGCCCTGTTTGTCGTGAGGCGTCTTTGCGTCCTTTAATTTAACAACCTCCATTAAACTGCCTCTCTGCAACACCTGTTTCATAACTGCCCTATTAACAGCAGGTACTGGGGGGGCTTTTGCTGCGCATTGTTGGTAGTAAAGTGAAGCTTTTAGTTACCCAAACCATTCGTCTTGCGCTCGGGCTCGGTCGTCCTGGCTTGATTTATCGCAAGTCCAATCCCAAGCAGAGGCGCCGTCGGTGACCAATAAAAAGTGTCTTCTAATGTCGATGACAAGCGGCGATCGGCGGTAAAAGTGTCACCGCGCGGGCGTTCGCACGCAGCCGGGCTCCAGGAAAAGGCTCACCGAAAGGAAAAGTCATCGCCTCCAGCCCATCAAAGCAGATCGGAGTTTGCACAGCAGCCAAGAAAGCCCCGCCAGCTCGCGCTCATCCAGAAATCCTTCTCCTTCTCCTCCTCCTCTTCCTCCTCCGCGCAGATCCGTGCCACACATCCCCGCGTCCCCCCGACCCGCGGCTCGCTCCTAGGCGTGCGCAGAGAGGCTGGATCCGGATCCGGATCCGGTGAGTGTGTCGCCTCCTGCGGTGTCGGGCTCTGGCCGCCGCTTCTGCTGCTGCTGCTGGCTTGTCAGTCTTTTGGCACAGCAGCGGGGGGAGCGGAGCCTCCGCTGTGGCCGCGCTCCTGGATCCTGCTGTGAGGCTCCCGGCTCCCGGAGACTGCGGGGACCCGCCTGTGCGCAGCCGAGGAGCGCCGTCCGAGTTTGGTCGCGGTGTTAATTTGTAAGCAGGCTACGTGCTCAAGCCCCAGACCTCCCACCCTCCCTCAGACCTCCCACACCCCCCCCTCACCACCACCCCACCCCCAACCACCTCCATCAGCTGTGGAAGTTGAGCAGAAGGAAGGTGCTGGGAGTGTTTCTGAGCAGCCTCTTCCAGCAGGACTGGTTTGTTACAGTAATGGTTAAAGCCGGCACTTGCAAAAAAGCTTTTTCACTTTGTGTGGTCGCATGCAAATGTCTTGTTTACCCCCCTTTTGCCTCAAAGAGGAGCGGAGGAAGTGGAGCGAAAGATGCCCGTAGCCCGCAGACACATTTAGAGCTCAGAAAGGCAGATGTTACAACTTTAATTAGCCCTCCGTCTGCCTGCTTACTGCTTTAGTCACACAAGGAAATCATTCCTCTGTTGTAGATTAACTCATTATAGCCGGCTTAGTGGGTGCTCAAACAGAGGGATTGGAAAATATCACGAGGCAGATCCAGTAAAAAAAACGAATCTTTGGAAAATGTTTCTCAGACAGCTCTGGCTCATTCTCTTGTTCGAGAATTCAATTTCAGTTCCTTTGCAAACCCCAGATGAAGTTTTTTCGGGGGAATTTCACAGTGTCACCTTGCCCCGTCATTTCCCACATGTTAAATCAAGGCTCGAGTCCTTTGCTCCCTTGTTTCTGCGTGCTCTCGGTGTGCCGGGTTCATTGTAGAGTGAGAGGTTTAATCAGAGTGGTGAGAGGGAGGATGGAGAGTCATCTTTCTTGTCAGATTCAGCTCTGCGCTCCGCTGGCTTCCAAGAGAGGAGAGATTTTCCATTTTCTCCACTTCAGAGCGATTTTTTTTTCCCCTTGTCTTTTGTGTGTGTGTGTGTGCACACTATCCCCCCCCCCCCCCTCTTCCCTCTCCTGTTATACATCTCCTTGTGTTTATCCCATTCTCCTCTTCATCCTGCCACAACCCCTCCCACCTTCTCCTTTGTGTTTTCTTGCTCCCACTGGGTGTGGTTGAAGGTCACTTGCACACTGGCTGGCTTTCACAGAGGATGGAGGGAGGAAGCGGCACGGGGGGGAAAAGGACGAGGGGAGCGGCCGATAGAGGGGCGGCCAGCCGGTCCACAGGACTGTGCACTCATCGCTTTTTGCCTCAGACACGACTGGGGAAGTTTGGAAGGACACATGGGGTTACAATCTGTCCCAGAACGCCCGAGGCGTCAACAGTCCGCTGGGCCCCGCGTCCAGCTCACGGGTGACCTCCACAAACTTCTCGTTTCCTTCACCCCCCCCCCCCGCCCTCAGCTCTGGCTGAGGGTCATCTAGCGGCCTGGGGCATGAATCGCAGCGGCGCGACGGACATTGTCTGTTTTACACCACACATTCGTCTCCCTTGTCAAAACCTGGCACTTAGAGCCCCCCGTAATTCACCTCCAATGCCAACGCTCCTGCTGGTGCTAATGAAGCTTAGAGCTGCTGCCCCCGGCAGAGAGGAGGAGTGGACCACCGATGTTGGAGGAGCTCAATTCCCTCTCATCTTCAGAGGAAGATCGGCGTAACAATTTGTCGGATCTATGAGAAACTAACAGGATTGCTGTGGATACATGCGAGTGCACACGGTCATGTGGAGTCTAACCCATTGGTTCCTGTCTCATGCTGGCATGCATGTGTGGCTGTGCCTATATTAATAGATGGAGATTAGAATGGGAGGTGTGAGCCTTTTAATGGAAACTGATGTTTTTGGCTGTGGACCAACATAGTTATTATAGGTTCTTCCATGAGACTGGACCAGTGCAGTTTGTTGGAACTGATTTGAAAATTGTTTGCATCAAAGTAAACACCTTGTTCTTCCTTTATATAAACCACACTTAGCTTCGCTAAAAATATTGAGACTCACTCCCCTCTAATCACCAGAATTCGCTGTCTTCCCCTCAGTTTTATGGCTCAATGCTCTCAAATTATTCCTGCCGTTCACAGCCATCAAAATGAAATGGACGTCTCTCGAATCCCTTGTGTTTCAGTTGACGCTTTGTGAACTGTTTTCGTAGAAAAGTAGTTTGTTTTCCAGCGGTCTGAGCGTGGGCTGCCAGCCGTCATGTGAGCAGTGAAAACAGCTCCTCCATGTCACTGTTTCCCTGTAGCAGGGGGCTTATGTCCGTTTGAGAACCTCCCTGTGAGACGCCTCCACCGCTAAAGCTGGGGGTGGTGGATACTATTTTTCTGGCTTCCCTCAGTCTTACAGCACTGAGCCTAAAACACCTGAGTACTGTCTTTACTGATGTGCCTGTTTAGAGGTATAAATTCATAACTGAATGCCACGTATGCTTCCGCCTGCTCTGAAAACAAAGCAAAGCGCCGCGCACCGTGAAGGGACCAGCATCTCCCCCCGAATACTCCAAAGAAGCCCCGGCTCTGTATGAACCCTCGCCTTCGCCTGTTGTTGTTGGAGTGGGACTCTGCGCCGTTGCGTCTCCGCTCCACGTGTGAGCGAATCTGGTTATTTTTCCCCCGCTCTGAGCCGCGGCCGCCCCGCCGTTTCAGGCCGCGGCGGTTCGGCTGCAGACTCCACACGTGATTAATCATGTGAAGTGGCAAAAAGAACAACACTGTCAAGCCTGTGAGGGGGACCTAATGGAGTTGAAAATGGGATGTTTTGTCGTGATGCAATCCATTTTGTTGCACGGTCGCATTCTTCCCAGCGTTGGCCGTGTCCCCTCAAACGGCAAATTCCTCATCTGGTGCCAGGTACAAAGCGTGGAGGTTGGGTCTATTTTCAGCAAAGAAGCAGACAATGGAAGGACCTCGGAGAAGCCTTTGCTTGTTTCGGTTATGAATTCCAGTCCCTGGAATTGGCCAACTCTGTCTGCGCTCTTCTGAGCAGCACTCCTCGGCTCTTTTAAGCGGGCCCGTATTTTTGGCCCCAGCTCAGTTCAGTGGAGAGGGGGGGGGGGGGGGGGAATCGTTTTCATTTTCCACTTTTAAGACCTAATCCACTCATTCCGCCGTGGAAAATCAACTGAAACGCATGTCCAGCCTGAGCTCAATTTGTTTGCAGCGTGCAGCATGCGCCCGCCAAACTGCCCTGCTGGGGGGGTAACTGCCTCTCAGTTACCCCCCTCCCCCCCTGCTGGCGAAAGCTAATCAGCCGGATGACGGCGCCGGGGGGGCGGGATGTGATCAAATGCCAACGCCAGAGCAGATTAAATGAACAAGTTAATGAAGGTAATGAATGAGAGTGTTTCACACTAAAGAGTTTAATTAACCTTGCCTCCCACCAGCCATCTCTTCCCTGCGCCACCTTTGTCACCATATAGCAGACCTCTTTTGGGCTGACCGTCCGGGGCAATTTATCCAGTGGCATTGAATGCCAGGGGGGGCAATTAATTCAGCCTCCTGCCTCACCACCTTATCCTGCGTCTTTATCCTTTATCTTCTGGTTTGCCACGCCTCCATAAGCACGATTCATCTCTTGACCCGCTCTCCCTTTGTCATCCACCTCCCTCCCTCTCTCCCTCCCTTTTCCCACTTTCTCCCCCTCTCTTTGCTCCTGTTCCTCTCAGATGCAGAATCACCTGCAACCCCACACACACACACACACACACACACGCAGCAAACACTTCCCCACCGTCAGCATCTTAAATATGCACACCTATCCACTTCTTAAAGCGATGGTCTCGTCAGATTAAAACAAGGACAAATGTTCATACATAAACATACAAACACGCGCTCACCCATATTCATGAGGACCCTCCGACGGCCTCTTTCTTGACTTCCCTCCTCTTCTGGGTCTTGCTTCAGTCAAACAAACGACCGCTCATTGTTCAAATATTGACCGCGATCGCTTTCCACACTCTGACAACTTTAATACACCTCAGCTGTCTCTCCCTTTCCCCCCATTTCCATTCCCATCTCCGCTCTGCTCCCTGACACACACTCACACAATGCCGCCACCCCGCCGCTACATCTTGTTAAAAAGAGTTAGCGAAGCTGAAAGGCCAATCACATTAACACGGACGGAGTGTCAGAAAAAGACCGCTGAGGATACGGCGGATGGGTCAAATCAAACGGACGCCGCTCAGATTTTAATTGCAAATGCCTAATTGCTCATTTAATTATAAGTAATAAGGCCCATCCTGCCCCGCTGATCTTGAACGGATCACATTGCAATTACTCACTGCTTTTCCGACAGCAAGAAATATCCTCTTAGATTAGCGTTTAATCCCGCCGCCCGGGGTCTCAGAAGGCTTTGAAGTCACGCCGCTGAATGTCCTTGTCCACCGACGTGGCGGCGTGGAAGGCCCCGCCTCGGGTAACGGGGGCCGCAGCCATTTTGTACCGGAGAGCTCTCATCAGTCATGGTGGAGGAACGAGGACCTCTCCAGCCGCTCACACTCGTGGATGATTAGATGCTCAGATGCAGTGAGCTGGGTTGGCCATTTGGCCGGGACCCCAACGTTTCTGTTCCAGCTCCCTCTTGCTGATAAATGTCACGGGGAAGTTGCAGGAGCCAACCTTGAGCGTGGCTTTCATGGCAGGCCAGCTCGCCGGCGGGAGGGAAAAAGACCGCCATCGCAGCCACCAACATGGTTCAGTCAGGTTAATTACCTCGGGTAAATTATTGAACTGCCCAAGGCAAAGCTAGAAACTTCATCTTCAGATATGCCAGGACTTTGGTGGCACAGTTTAATTCAAATATCATCACCTCACTATGATGAACACCAAACTGTGGAGAGAGCTCAGGGCGAAATCTCTGTTGTCCCAATGGGGTTGTATCTCTCCTCCTCAGGCTAGTCTCCTCAGACCTGAGCCAAATATTTATCCGTCAAGTAAAAGAGTGTCTGGACAGAAAAAGGCCACGTGAAGTCTCTGCCTCCGTCTATCTTTAGCGCTGCCCTCTCTCCGTCTGCATAATGTCTCGCTGCCCATGCTTAAGCACATTTTAGGGGCGTCAGGCGTTATCTCTTGCCGGTCAGTGAGGTCTTTTCATGGCTTTGTGCGGCATGAAAGGCTGTCTGGGCGCGTAGAGGAGATCATTATCCAGCAGGGACTGAGCAGAACGGAGTGAACGGGAGCGGAATTTGTGAGGGAGGTAGACTCCAGGGGTTTGCTTTGACTCATACTCAACATCGCAGTCTTTATATTAATCCATATTTAATTAGACTCTCCTGTAGAGTACCCCCCAACCCCCCGTTCTTGTTTACATTTCCTGTGTTGTTTTATGGGAGGCTGGGCCGGGCTACGGGTAGGAGCTACTGACATGGGATTACTGTTAATTAGTAGGAAGGAGAGGCTGGGTAGAGCACGGGGAGGCCTCCGGGGATAGGGCTGCGTTTCATTTCGCTCATCAGATATTGTAATTCAGATCGCACACGTCAGCCGAAACAATAACCTGCTCGTGCAACGTGCTGAAATTTCCCTGGTTTTGGGTCTGCGGGTGCAGAGTAACGTGCGAGTAGCATTTGGAGCTGCTGATGAAAGGATGGCGCGGGTCTAGCGACTGATTTGCATTCATCAGGTGCCTTTAGTGGAGATGATGTTGAGAGAACTTCTCGCTCCGTTAACCTCAAATAAACGTCTTCCGCAGCCTGTCAATGGAGAAGCGTCTCAGGATGACTGACTTTTTATCAGATCCATTATTACAATGCGTCTGCTCTATGTGCTTTGTTGTGGAGCAACAGAGGCTCACAACTCCATTAAGATGAATGTAACCCCCCCCCCCCTTCCCCCCCACCCTAATTTCTAAAATGAACATTTCAATCAGTGCACTGCCTTTGGGAAGGATGGCAGGTGAAGGTCAGTTTAAATTTCAGCTGCAGTAATTACATTCTTTATTAGTCTTTGCCACTGAATTCAGCTCCAAAGAAGAGGAACGCCGCAAAGGAGCCGCGTCGGCTGGGTGTTGACTTAATGTCACCCATCCATTTCGCTCTCGCTCTGGTTGGCCTCGCAGGAGCCAGAAAATGGGAGCTCATTCATCACCGCTTTCCTCTGGCTCGGGGCTCCTCCATGCATTTAGTCATAGCACCGGCGACAGAAAGGCGCACACTTCGGGAAAACAGCGGGCCGCGCTGGCACGCCTCCTCTGCTCCGTCAACCGTTCACGTGTGTGAATACAGTCAGGGCTCTGAAGCTTTGTGACAGGTTGATTGACAGCTGAGCGGCATCTGTATTCCATCAGCACCGTGTGACTCCACTGATGTGCGGCTGAGTGATTTGTGAGCCCACACTGCTCATACATTTTAAAGCAACCCTTCACCGTTTTCCATGTTTATTCTCTTTTGATTATTTCTTTTTTTTTTTTTTTTTTGCAGAAAGGAATCCCCATTGGACAGTTCTGCAAGGACTTCAATGAGAAGACCAAGGAGCTTAAGGAGGGCATCCCTCTTCCCATCAAGATCCATGTGAAGGTGCTTTTCCCCAACCCAACCTGACCCTTTTCACTTAACACCCATCCCTCCCACGATTGCGGTTCATTCTACGAGCTGCATAACATCATCGGAGCACTTCCATTATTCATACTCTACCACTGAAGTAAGCCCTTCCATTTGCATTCATTAATGAAGCAATACCCCCGAGGAACCTGGAGTCAAGAGGCATTAAGTGCATGCAAGAGATATGAATTGCTCACAGCTGGGGGTGTTATGCGGTTGTGGTTTTTTACTTTACGCAGCCACACACTGTTTGATGTGCCAGACCTCCGCAAATGAGCGTGTTTAGTTTCATTTTCTCTCTTAATCAAGAGCTGTCCTCTCGGCACTCTAAACGGGCGCTGTAGTGAGATATAAGAGGGGTCACTTAATCCCATAAAAGGCCTGAGTTTGGGCTGACATGCGATAACCAGCAGCAGCCGGACTGTCACATCTTTGCTCTTCATTGGTGCCATCTGCTGGTGATCCGCAGCGTTTTGGGGCCCGTCGGGTTTTTCTGGAGAACGCCCGCACGCAGCACGTCCCGGCCTCTGAGACTAATGCTTCCCGGCTGGGTGCCGCGTTTTTGCCGCGTCAGTTGCTTTGATCAGATCTCCCAGAGCCTTTCATCTGACTTTAAAGGAACAGATGGGCTGTTTGTACAGTTCACCTTTTTACTCTCTTGTTGAGAGTCAGACGAGAAGATCAATGCCTCTCATGCGTTTCCGTTAAGTGAGCAGCTCGAGCCAGAAGGCAATTAGCTTAGCATAAAGACTGGAGGCAGGGGGCCGCGGTTCAGCATAAAGTTACAGAAGTCGGGCTGCCTGTGGATTCACTGCACAAACGCCCGATCCGTGCAGCTCAGCCCCGTGCTTTATCTGCAAGCTTTTTAAGATGACAATGACAAATCAGAAAGCATAAATAATTACTGGAGCTGGTGCTGCTGTGCGTCTCCAGTAAACTGCACTCAGCACTCTCTCTGTTATGAGGCGCCGTGCACGTGTCGTGCGTTTTCAGGGGCCGTTTGAGAAAGTCAAAGAAAGCAAAAGCTGCCTCTAAATGTCTGCATTAGTTTTTCTGATACGGATGGATCAGAGCTAACTATTGATCATGTTTTACATCTCAGCTGAAGCTTCAGATATATCAAAAAATGAAGTCCAACCGAGGAACGTGATTTCATGTCAAAAACACGTCTAGTAAAAGTGTAGTTCTCAATTTGACTTGAGTTGCTCTTTTATGTTGGAGATGGAAACAGTGCAGGTTTTGGTGCTTTAAACTGGATTCAGCAGAAACACAGACAACGGTGCTGAGATTTTGTTGTATTCTGACCATCTTTTTCTTCTCATGACGTTACTGCCATATTGCCGCCCTGTGTGAGCCATGAGACACCAGCCTCATCTAAAAGGAGCAATTTTAAGTCTGTGTTGTGTTGTGTTAAACTCAAAACAAACAAGCGCGACTCATCCAGTTCTGATCCAGGAGCCTCGTACGGCGGCGTTAGCAGCCGTCTCACATCTACTGACCTGATGGTGGTTAGAAACAGATCACCCTGGGACCAGCACGGATCCTTGTGTCAAACCTAATGAAAATCCACACAGCTGCTGTTGAACCCTTTAAGTCTGTAGTCACCAAACAAACACGAGTTCTTTGGGTTTAGGCACGGTTAGCCTCTGTTTTTGCCGGTGCCCTGACACAGCGGTGGATCAGTCCACCACTGTGAACGCACAGCAGTTGTTTAGTTTTCACCTGTCCTCCAACTCTCTGTAATGTGTATGTTAGGGCTATTCCTGTCTTCCTTTTCCTAAGCCAGGGATGAGTGAAATGGATGGAAGCTGTCAGATTCTGATGGTGAGATCAACTAAAAGAGTGTATTTTCTTCATATTAATTTAATTCAACATGGAAGGGGCCATCTTGCTTATGGAGCCTGTAACAAAAATAATTTCCCTCTGGGATTATTAAAGTATTTCTGATTCTGATTCTGATAAAAAACCCATACATACAGTTTTTGCTAAAACCACAGTAACATTTCTGGATTTTTTTAAAAATATGGTGAAATAAAAGCTTCTTCTCCTTCAGGACAGATACTGCCTGCTTTTAAGTAGTTCACAAATGACCCAATATCCCATTAAATACAGCGGGGAGTTTACCTCTCCAGTAACTACTCCCTCACTTCTCTGTGTCCTTGTATTTTTCACTCTCTTGTTTTGCCTGTCAGGAGAGCCATTGGAGTGAATGTTTTATGTCTTTAAACAACAACTTTTCATTGAACCTTTTGTTAGCACGATACGTTCTCCGTTGGTGGAGAAAAATTCCCCCTGCTCCGTGGAAAGGCCACCTGTGGTAGATAGCTGATGACAGATCGCCCGTCTCTGGGGTATCTTCTGGGCTCAGGCTGCACTCTGTGTGCTTCAGGTAACAGTCAGTCTAAAGGAAACATGCTCCCTGAAGATGCATTTATTGCTTCAGTTTCTCTGCTTTTGGATATTAAAGTTCCACTGCCAGACAGAGCATGAATTAAAAGAAAAGAGCCAGCCGGACTCATGAGATTATTTTTGTTTTGATCTTGAAGCCAAGATGGAAATGAAGGCGCCTAGATGTTTTTTTAGCTTTAGAGTTTAATGTTTTTTTTCCCCCCCTGTTTGTATCTTTTTCTCCAAGCTGTCTGGTACATTTTTCTAAGAGCAGGAAATCGATAGCCTGTATGTGATGTGGATGAGGCTGTATCATCGGACTCTGACGTGCGTCGGCTCACTGTTTTGTTCAGCTTTCCTGCCCTTATTCATGCACTGAGTGTTTCACACTGGGCGGTCAGTGCTCAGTGAAGACACCCGGATAGCACCAGCTCTATTTCCCACCTCTTTTGGAGGGCATTGTGAACACCAGTTAAAATGGACTTCTTCTCATGCAGCCAGGCCTCTTATTTTCTACCAGAAAATGTTGTTTGGTTCAACATTTGTTCTCCGGTTTGACCGCCAGCAGTACTGTCAGTACTGACAGTACTGACAGTACTGACGCGTTTGAGCAACCTTCAGCTGTGTGTTCAAAAATAAAGACATTATTCATCTTTTTTTCTTACACAAACCCTTTTTAACTGGTTGCAGCACGATCCTATCCCCATTTTTATGTCTGACCAAATCATTTCTGTTTTAATACAGGGTTGCCCGGAAATAATTTATTACTGCTGGTTTAATCTATTCTCCCACACTTAAAACAATGTAAAATCTTTCTGTTTGGCTAGCAAACAAGCCGGATCAAAGAAAAATATTCTCACAGCTGAGAAAGCAAAATAAAAATTTTCCCTGGTCGGCAGGGTAAGATTAAAATCATAAATTAATTCCCCAAAAATTGTAGGCACATTGCCTCTGGAGCTAAAGGAAGATTAGTTCTATTATTTATTCTTGTCTTTGATGTAATCATGTTACCTTGGGAAAAAAAAGGTCTTTGAAACTTTTTGTACTATCGCAGATTAATTTAAACCCAGGAAATGTCTCTGAGTAAAAAAAAAAAAAAAATAGTAGTTCCAGCCTGTCTTCTCTGTATTTTCCTGCAAATTGGTTTAGATTTTCAGCCAATGTTGGCTGAAGGAAAACGCCTGGGCTTAAAATGGGAAAGTAATTGTCCTTTTATAGTAAAGTAATATTGAGCAACATCTCTGCCCACATCCTTCATGTTTAGAGGTCTGCTGAACAGAAAAAATATAAAAGAATAGGGATCTCACACTCCAAAAGGATACATTGACCTTTAGTCCCCTCTGAAGGAGGTCGTCTGGTGCTTTTGTGTTGCCAGGAAACAGGAACTTTAAGATGTTCACACATTAAATTGAAGGTTTGAAAGTTTTTTAGGCTCAATTGTAGGAATGACTCAAACTAGCCTCAGTCTGTTTCACAAACAAATGAAGCTTTAAAATCCTCTGACTTCAGAAACCGTTTCTTTTTAGGAGACAAAAAAGTAAATCTGCTGGATGAAGAAATAAGACTCTGATGACCTGCTGTTCAAATTAAACTTGGCTAGCAAATGTCTGTGGTAATTTATCTTTTGGAAAAACAAATATTTACGCCAGTGACAGATTAGATGCTGATACACTGGAAGACTAAAACTAATGTCTGCTGAATAAGTTATTAAAGTCTGAGTCTTGTTAGGCAGCAAATAAATTACCTAAATTTCTTGTTCTAAACATTGGGATGAATGGAAAAGACCTAATCAGCCACTGGTGTTTCTTTAAGCTGCTTACATGCTGTGAAAACAGATGGTTTGTACGGGGATGTGGAGAAGTTGAGTCTAAATTAATGACACGATAATAATGACTAAAACAAACTGTTAATGGAATAATGTCGCAAAGAATCAGCAGGATTTTTTTAATGGCTAGTTCTGCAATTGTGATTTGAAGAATTTAAAAAAATACATTTTTATTATTATTTTTTTTTTAAAGAGCTACATTGTTTTAGTATGTGATGGTGTGTTGACGGCGGTCCTGTTTGTGCTCAGCCTGACAGGACGTATGACCTGAAGATCGGCCAGCCCACCGTGTCCTACTTCCTTAAGCAGGCGGCGGGCATCGCAAAAGGGGCCAGCAAGACGGGTGAGGATGGCGTTTCTCCTCGGCCTTCACTGGAACGGACACACGTCTGACTCGGGGTTTAGCTGGGCTGGTCGATGTTCTATTCACGACACACGAGGGATCTGCAGCAGAGACAGGAAGTGGCAAAGGTGGTGTGTGCGAAAGGGATGGTATGGATTTCCTCCTTTTTCGCTCCAGGCTACCGGCAGCTTTGTCTCAGCTGCTGACTCCCAACACAACCACTACATTCACACAGAATTTTTTTCAGAATGCATGCTCTGATTTCTTTTCCGTTTTTCTTTTTTTCCCCTCAAAGGCCACGAGACGGCGGGACTGGTGTCGGTGAGGGCCGTGTATGAGATCGCGCAGGTGAAGGCTCTGGACGAAAGCTTCAAAATGAGGAACACCTCCCTCATGAATGTGGTCAAAAGCATCATCGGCTCGGCCCGGTCTCTGGGCATCAGAGTGGTCAACAAGTAAGTCCGGGTCTGGCACTGGGTGCCTCACCGATCTCACATAATCACCCCGAGGTATGCTGAAGGCGGGCAACGGCAGGAGGGGGCCTGTTTCCGTCCTGCCGCTGCGCCTCTGAGCGTCCACTAGAGACCAGTGGAGGCTATATGTGGGGCCACCATACCAGCAACATACACAGCTGGTCATCAAATGCTGATCAACAAGTATTTGAGCAGTAAACCGTCCCATTGTCTGAATTGGGGACAAGCGTTCTATTTTCTAGACTGGATAAATGTTCTGAAAAACCAAAACTCTGCGGCAGCACACTGCGGCCTTAAAGAGGACAGAATGTTCCCGTGGAGGTCTCCTTCATCTCTTAAGCAGGTGAAGACACAGGAAGTTTAAGTGTTTTAGCCAGCAGCCGAAGAAAAACCCTGATAACCTTTCACAGAACGGCCCGTTTCCCTGTACAGTTTCCCATCTCGCTGGACTCTGTGCGGACACCTCTGAAACGCACAGGCGCAGCCACTGCACATAATTTAATTTAATTAGCTTTCAGTATGAATGCACCACGTGCTCTCAGAGCTGGAATATGATCCACTGGTTCTTGTGATTAATGTGATTTCAGCTGCTGTAACAATGCAGTGCTCCCCTGGCATTAATAAGTTAGTGTACACATCTGTCATGCTGTCGGTTGGGGCCTTAGTTTCTAATGCAGCGAACGCGCCCCGATGTGGGCCGCTCACACCACCTCTGTCTGCTCCAGAACGGCCCTTAAAACCCAAAAATCAGATGATGACACGCTGCTCACACCTGCAGCCTTCTTTCACATGCATCATGAACACGGAACGTTTTTAGTATGTTAGAATTTACATACACAAAATAGGCAAATGTCTTCTTACTGGAGTCCTAAAGCCACAAATGCCTATTTAGTTTTTTGTGAATCTCAGTGATCCAGCCCCAGTGATGCAGACACTTGCACATTTAGTGGTTAATATACGGAACCAGACCTTTCAACATGGCTAAATACTAAATGAAAGTAACAACGAGGGAAAAAGGAGAATTTTAACGAACGTGAATTTGAAAGCCTCCAAGGCGGAGTAGAAAAAGCTGAATCTTTTTCATTCGGTGCTGAAATATCTTAATGCATGACCTGGAAAAAAAAAAAACCCTGCTGCTTGGAAAAGGTGACCGAGAAACAGAAGCTCAGTCCTTTTTTTCTCCGAACAGAAAAAGGACCCCGCAGAGGTAAAAGGGAAGTGGACGGCTTACAAATGAGAGGCAGAAATGCTCGCCGGCGTGCACACACACACACACACTCAGACCCACTTCTATTAGACCCAACGTTGAAGGCTTTATCATCTAGTGCCATAAAATCAGTGGGATCTCTGAACATATTCCTCCTCCGACACTCTCAGAGCAGCTCTCCTCATGTGCATCTACGCTTGGTCTTTGCAGCCATAAATTAATAAGTCTGCGTTATAAAAACCAACAACAACAAACCGCATTACAGCTCTCATCAGTCACAGCGACCAACACCTGTGACGGTGTTTTAGTGAAGTGGTGTTGCACATTTCACTCTCAGGCCCATCAGGAATAGGTTGCTCTGTTAATGCATGATGTGAAATATCCCATCCTTCATTCAGGGAATCAGTGAGCGTGCAGGAAAAAGGCGTCCACACGGGTGTGTGCCCCGTCATAGTTTCTGTGGATCCAAACGGAAGGGATTTCATTCACAGGAAGGAATCGTCTTCATTAGGACCCCAGAAAACGGACGCGGCTGAACCAGCTCGTTGGTTTGAGCAACGGCTCGTGTCCGGCCTTTTTGGTGGGCGCTCGCTATCAAAAGAAGTCAAAACAAATCAAACTGGATGTCATCAGTTTGCAGTCTGACATTTTAAGACACAGTAACATAAACTTGCCTGATATCTCAAATAACCTGTTTTGTTTTCTTTCTTCCGATAACTCTGATATTTATTCCTCCTGACATGGACTGAGATTCATTTAATCTGCTGTCAGCTGTTTCAAAGTTAGTATTCAGACACATTCTGCTTCTGTCACTTCTGCTCTCCCTTCACTTAAACAATGGCACTGTCACATTTGCAGTGTATTATGATTTATTTAGCGTACCATCAGCAGGGAGATTGGAATCTTTCCCTCTTCAGCTGTGGATTTCTCCCTGGGTGATTGTTGAATGGTGCTGCGTTGTAATGAGCTCAAGGGGAGGCAATTCTTCTTTGATTCTGGAACACTGGCGCCCAAAACGAATTAAAGTTAATGTTGCAGATGGTTGCTATGAAGCTGGATGTGTTCTGGAAGCACAACAATGAGTTCTATTGCCTTTCCCTCCACCACCCAACCCAAATCTTGGTCATGGAAAGCCGAGTCCTTCCTGTGTGTGGACTGTTTGTGTTTGACTGTTGGCTATACTTTCATTTGACAACTAAATATGAATTTTCATGTCTCCCCTTCAGTCTGTCGGCTGATGAATACAAATTGTTCCTGGAGCAACGGGAGGAGAAACTCAAGGCAGATGC